ACAATGGGGAGTTGCTACTGGCATCTAGTGGGTAGAGCCCGGGGATCCTGCTAAGCCTCCTGCAATACACAGGACAGCCCCCCACCACACAGAAGGATCCACCCTAAAATGTCAGTAGCGCTGAAGCTGAGAAGCCCTGTCCTGATACCAAAACCCATGTCTCCTAAACACCAGGCACTTCACATTTTCTTTATATTTCATTAATAAATACTATAACGTATTTATTATTTTTCTTACATTGACTTTAAATTGATGTACACCTTAAATATTTATGCTCGTGTAGCCACGTGTTTGATGTGCCATTATTTTTTTTCTGCTACACATTGAAATAAATATAAAACTATTAAAAAAAAATCTTTGGGGGTAAAACCAAAAGTCATCTCACATACCTCTTGCAGTCTGGGGAAATCATACTTCAGACCCACTTGACTTCTTCCATAAGGGATCCTTTATCTTCTCAGAATAAGAGAATAAAATATATCAAATCAGCGTGTTGCTTGAGCATGGCAAGGGGCTAGCCCCATTTTGGCTTCTGTTGGAGGAAGTCATTGAGGGGACATGACCTCCGGCTGACCCCGGGGGCAGCACGTGGGCAGAGGCTCCTCCCCCCTCCGCTGTCCTCAGATGTATATTCCACCCACTGTTCTGGCACTAGGAGTCTATTTCAAGGATGCGGCCTTGAGAGAGCAAAGTTGCTGTTAGGACCATCTGGACCATACACTACTGACCCCCATTGAAGCCTCTATATAATATAAACTTGTAAGATTCTGGCAGGCAGGCGCAGAGATCCCCTTGTCGTGGGGGGCCCAGGATAAGCCTTGTAAGTTCCTTTGCTTATCACCCCTCCTACTTACCCTTCTGGAGAGGTCTGCCTCTTTTCTTTGGTCTCTCCTTGGCCTTGGTCTGGGGCGGGGGGGGGGGGGGGTCCAGTTTTGATTTTCACCCAGGTAGCTCCTTAGGTTTCAAACCAAAAGCTTCTGTGCCATCTCTCTCTTTTTTTTTTCTTCCTCAAGGCTAACAGTTGCTAAGAAACCTTTTTGAAACCCTAAAAGCTATCTGGTGAGGACTTATTAACAAACAACTCCCTCCAGTGAGGGCCAAGGCACACATAATCTAATTTGCTGACTTGCTGATGGACCCTGGTTGCAAGTCCTGGTAAGTAAACATTCTTTGTAATGTTGTTCCCTCCCCTAATTGTTGGGGAGTAGGATTTTGGTCTTGTTGCAAGCCATTCTGCCATCTGACATAATTAAGCCTAGAGCAAACGAGATTCTTCTTTAGATATTAAAAGTGCCTGTGTTGTAAATAATAATGTCATCATCTCTTTCATAGAAAGTATTTTCATTAAGAGCTGCATTTTAATTTCAACACATTTGCATGAATTCATTTGGCTAGTGGTGGGGGGTGGTATTTGATGATTTTTCATCTTCCATGAACTTGCCAGGTGTTTCAATTAGGAACTTTATAAAACCCCCTCCCCCACTCAGGAGCCCTGAATGAAATACTTTCTCAATCACGTGTTCTGAATGGGGGCATGTTCTCAATAACCACACATCTATTAGCAGGTAGTGACTCTATTGATTGAGTTGACATACCCAGAGGAAAGGGACTTTCTTCCGGGGCGCCTGGGTGGCTCAGTCGGTTAAGCATCTGCCTTCAGCTCAGGTCATGATCTTGGGGTCCTGGTTAAGCGTCTGCCTTCTGCTCAGGTCATGACCTTGGGCTCCCTGCTCAGTGGGGAATCTGCTTCTCCCTCTCCCCCTCCCCCATGCTCTCTCTCTCTCTCTCTCTCAAATAAATAAAATCTTAAAAAAAAAAAGGGACTTTCTTCCTTTAAAGAGTAAAATGAACCTAGACGGTTCTTCCTTCTTATGTTTTTCAAAGGCTTGGGAAACAGGTGTGGACAATATTCCAGAGGCGCAGCGGCAGCCTTGGCAGGCAGGTGCAGCAAGGGAATTTGGTTTGGGTGAAACTCAGGGCAGGGGGCGGTGGCGGGGCAATAGCAGGCTTAAGGTTTGGGATCTGGCAAATAAGCCATGAGGGGTAAGATCAGGTCGGCTTCTTTCCCAAGCAGGATCCGTGCACTCTCCTTGTCACAAACAGGGGGCAGTCTCTGTTAATTAAAGCTGGGAACTGCGGCCAGAGTGAGTCTCCTCTGAGGACTGGACTCAAATGTCCTGGTGACAGGCAATACTTTACGGAGATTGGAGGCAGATTCTAAAATGGATTTTTCTGTCTAGATTTTGTCTCTTTTCGCTAAGATTTTTTTTCTTTTTTCAAATTAAATTTATAAGTGTCTGAAAACCCCCAGCTCTTGGGGGAAGGTGTCTGTGACCTACTCTTCTATCAGGTTGTTGCCCTAAGCTCCCAGCCCTGATGCTGGCTGGGCGGTACCTCAGTGGGGTGCAGTGGGGTGGGAAGGCAGGAAACCAGAGATTAGAAGTCTGGCAGTCTGCATCTAGCCCTGGCTTTCCCATTTGCTGGCCACTTGACCTTGGACAAAGCCCTTAACCTCTCTGAGCCTCAGCTTCCTGGACCTTGGCAAGCCTGCTGGAGCAGCCCTCCTGGATTCTAATTTAGTGCATAGAAATATCCCAACCCCTCTGCAAGGTCCCCACAGCAGAAACTCCATTGTCTGTCCCTTTCCTCTCGGGTTAACACCAAGGGTCTTGCATTGAAGATCTTAACAAGTTAATCAAAGCAAACTGTAAATATTTTTTGAGTGCTTCTCACATCCAGCACTGCTGTAGGTGCTGGGACACTGCAGGAGTCAAGGCCCCTTTCTGCCCTGGAGTTTACCATTTCAATGTGGGGAGACAGACAGAAACCAAACATATATTATAACATCAGGTGGATAGGGAGTACGGAGGCCTATTTTAGGAAGGCATTACCTGCAGTGGTTAGAACACAGGCCCAGGAGTCAAATTTCTTGGGTCAAAAGTCAACGGAGGCACTTCTTCCCTGTGCTACTATGGGAAACTGGTTTAATTGCTTTGGGCCTCAGTCTCTTCCTCTGTTGTGTGGGCCTAGTTATATTATCTAGCAGATAGAGTTAAATGAGATCAGTCCCTCAAATGTTTTAGCAAATATTCCCAGATTGTCTGCTAGATGCTAGGCACTGCTCTAAGCATCTGTGAGGAGGTGATTTGAGAAAAGACAAGCTTAGTGGGCATGTTGCAAGCACTGAATAAATGTCAGCTATCATTAGCTCTCACACACCAATGCTTGTGTTTGTAGAGACTCACACAGTGGTGGTGGGTGTGGGTCGACAGACGCGCCACACTATCCTATTTTGGGGATCCCATTATGATGGAGCTGATGAATTTAGACTAAACAATTTCATACCTTGTCCAGGTGGGTTTGGGACAAAATACAGCCTGCAATTCAACGAATCTTCTAGGGCTGGTATACTCCTGGATATGCTCCATCAGTGTTGGCCTGGTGTTTTTGCTGGAACAGGGTCATTCTTGGCTAGTCTTTGGGCAGACAGGTGACATTCATCAGAGAGAAAGCACAATTAGCTAAAGTCCCTCTCATTCTGAGAAAACTTGCAGTAGAGTCCAACACCCACGCTCCATGCTTTTTCAATTAAGGGGACCCAGGATGTCATTTTATTTGTGGCCCAACTTTTTGGCGCTTTGAAAACTCCCCGACTGCAGCCCTATTATGGAGGGGATTGTGGTGGAGACATCATTTCCCTGCAAATCGCCTAGCCGACTGCAAAGTGTATACTTAGTTAATGCAATTAAAAACAAAACGCAGGGGCGTGTGGAGATCTAAATTCGGTGTAGCAGCTTTGGTGCACATCCCGTTTTGGGGGCTACTGGAGTCAAATTCAAGCAGAGGAAAGAAGAAGTGGGAGAAATGGGAGAGGGCCGACGGATGACTGGAATCGGCTGAGTTGGAGAAGGCCGATTTGGAAACTGCTGACAGGCGACCGGAGGCTGGAAGCTGAGGGCCCAAGGCCGGACTCCGCAGCACTAGGTGAGGATGTCTGGGGGGAGGGGGGGGTTCGGTGAGCACAGGGGCTAGCCGGCTCCGGAGACCCACGCGCGGGCTCCAGGTGCGGGAGGGTGGCTGAGGCTGGGTGCCCAGGCCTTGCGCTGCACCAGATCTGGGCGCACAGAGGCGGCGCCGCGGTGTGCCCTCCTGTGGAACGCAGGGAACGCTTTGAGGTCCTAGAGGGACAGAAAGTGGCAGGTCCAGGGGCCTAGGAGAGTCCCAAGGAAAGACATTCCGGGACGTGGGACGTGCCACTGCCTTGGCCTTGTCTGCTGCCTCCTCCCTATCCCCTGCGCTTCTTTGACTATAGTTCGTCCCACGGCCCTCTCCCGGGGGTGCCTACCCCGGGCCCCAGTGGCTTGCCACCCCGCCTTCTCAGCTCAGCATTGGTCCTCGGCTCCTCCCAGGGAGTTCAACCATCCGGGAGGCGCGCCTGGCTGGAGGGCGCAGTCGGGGGAAGGGCGAGGTGGTCCGGTGCACCTGGAAAGGGCGAGCTTAATCAGACCGTGCCCCCGTCTGCTTTGGAGTGGAAGCCACTTAGTCTGTCCTTATCCCCTCCGAGTCACCCCTTCCCTGGAGGGCATTTTCGAGCCGCAGCTTCTGCGCACGCACGCCTGAAAAAGCCACGGGCGGAGCCGCCTCTGCGCCCAGAACAGGTCTGAGCCGCGCCTCCCGCCCAGAAAGGGCGCGGGAGGTCCCGCAGCGATCCTCCACCTGCCGGGAAACCCGAGCGGTGCCTTCACCCCGGCGGCTGCCGAAGAAGCTCCCTCCTCCCCGCCCGCCAGTCAGCCTAGCTCAGCTCTGCACGCCCCCCAACTCGCTCCCGCCCGCCCGAGTCACCTCTTCCGCGCCCCCGCCCCTCTCGAGCTCGCGCCCGTTCCACCCCCCCTCCTCTGCCCGCCCTCCTCCCCTCCCCCTTCCCTCCTGCCCTCCCTTCATTCCACAAGTGTTGCTTCGCTCTCCAGCGCACTTGGCGAGCTGGAGAGGTGAGAAGGATCGGGCGCGGGGCGGCTAGTCCGGAGCCGCCGGCGGAGGGGAAGCGCGAAGAGACCGACTCTTCCCTGCTCGCCAGCCCCCGCCTCTCCCCGTAGCCGGCCGGACCTGCACCCGGCGCTTGCCCCCGCTCATCCTCCCCCCGCCCGGCCAGGCGCGCTCCTCCCCGGCCGGCCCCTCGGCGCGCGGCGCGCTGGAGGCGAAAGCGGGCTGAGCCGAGCGCAGTGGCCGCCGACCACCGAGCGCCCCGCGCCGCTCCCTGCATGTGCGGCCCGCGGCGGCTCGCAGCCCCCGGCAGCAGCCTCGGCAGCTTCGGCCGCGCCTCGAGAGGTGGCTGCAGCGGCTCCAGCGGCGGCCGAGCGGCCGAGCCCGGGCTGGGAGACACGATGCGCCGCGTCCTCCGGCTGCTCCTCGGCTGCTTCCTCACCGAGCTGTGCGCCCGCGTGTGCCGGGCGCAGGAGCGAGCGGGGCACGGGCAGCTGGCGCAGCTGGGCGGCGTGGTAGTGCTGGCGGGGGGCAACCGCTCCGGGGCCGCCTCCGGAGAGGCCGGCGAGGGCGCGGGGGTCTCGGACGCTCCGCCGACCCGGGCGCCCACGCCGGACTTCTGCAGGGGCTACTTCGATGTCATGGGCCAGTGGGACCCGCCGTTCAACTGCAGCTCGGGCGACTTCATCTTCTGCTGCGGGACTTGTGGCTTCCGGTTCTGCTGCACGTTTAAGAAGCGGCGACTGAACCAGAGCACCTGCACCAACTACGACACTCCTCTGTGGCTCAACACCGGCAAGCCCCCCGCGCGCAAGGACGACCCCCTGCACGACCCCACCAAGGACAAGACCAACCTGATCGTTTACATCATCTGCGGGGTGGTGGCCGTCATGGTGCTTGTAGGCATCTTCACCAAGCTGGGGCTGGAGAAAGCGCACCGACCCCAAAGGGAACACATGTCCAGGTGGGCTGCCTCCCCCTCCGCCTCCCCTCCGGGCGCCGCTCTCCCTGCTCTTCCCTCTCCACCTTTCCCCGGGCAATGGCGCTCCCCCCCCAGCCCCCCGCGTCTCCGCTGGGGGAGGTCGCCCGGGAAAGCCAACTTCGGCTGGGAGCGCGGAGAGGGGGCGCTGGGCTCCGCACAGGTGTGGATTTGCGCGTGTGTATGTGTGTGTGTCGGGGGTCTCTGCCCCCTTCACCCTCTCGGCGCCCCCTCCCGCCTAGGATTGAAGCGGATCTGAGACACACAGCCCGGGAGCCTGTGGCCCCGAAGTCTTGGGTTTTGGGGAGGGGTCCCCCGCTCGGATTCCACATCCTAGCCTCTAGGTAAACAGAGCAGGCGAGCTCGAAAGGGAAGGGGGGCGTGTGTGAGCCCGCGCGCGCGTGTGTGAGGGAGGGAGGGAGGGAGGGAAGGAGTGTGTGCCGCCTGCAACTCGTACGGCTCGCGAAAAAGAGGCGAGGGAGGTGGAAAGAGAGGGGAGGGCGAGAACAAAAGCCTTGCCTGGAGCGGCCGCCTCGCTCTCCCTGAGCTGCCAGGTCCCTGCAATTGGGACGTCGGTTGCCTCCCCCTGCCCAAAACCCTCGCCCCTTTCCCCGGTCACCACCTCTCCTTGCTGGGGGCCGCGGCCTCAGCTGCGCGCTGAGCCCCTTGCCGGGGTTGGCGTGGACTTTAAGGGCCGGAGCCCCGCTCACCAACCCCCACCCCCCCGCCGCCCCCCAACACCCTGATTCGTCAACTTTCCCGGTTGCCTTATTCATTATGCAAGTCCCAGCGCGAGCAAGTCGCAGCAGATGGGAGAAGGCATTTGGGGATTAATGGAGCTATTTGCCTTTTGCTTTTTAAAAAAGTGTCTAAATTGATTCGCACAACTTTGGAGGCGGAGGACACCGCCACGGGGACGCAGCCCCCAGATCCGACAGAGGCCAGGGTTGGCGTGAGGTCTGGGCGGGCGGGGTTGAGGAGCGACAGGCAGTCTTCCAATAGCTGGAGGGTTGGGCGCAAGCTCGATCTTCTTTCCGAGTGTGGGCAACGGGGTCGCCATGTGTCCCACCCCCTACACACAGACACACACCCTCCCCACACCTCCGGCGGGGGCCCATGTGTGCGCGTGTGGATGCACGCGCTCCGTGCGCCTGCCTAAAATATCTGAACAAAGAGACCCACCAAAAATAGGCGAAGGAACATTACCACCTCACTAGTAATTATTTTCTATTTATACGCAGAGTATCCGATGACTTTTTTTTTTTTTCCAGTGGGGAGGGATTTGGGGGAAGAGGTGAAGAAGTTCCTCTTGGTTTGGGTCAGCAGGGAGGCGTGAATGGATGTTGGGGTCTTGGGGCACAAAGTAAGCTTCGAGGGTATTCAAGAAACCCTGATCAACTAAAAGAGTAACACGCTGGCCCCGCCCACCTCCTGTAACCCCAAGATGCCCCGTCTCCAGCCCCAGCCGCGGGTGCTTCGCGTCCCCGCAGTCCCCCGCCAATCCCTGTAGCTTCCCGGGGTCTGTGTTCAGGTGAGGGAGGAGTGCCGAGGCAGGACTGCGGCAGGCGGCGGGTGTCGCCTTGGTGTAGGGAGAGAGTCACCCAGGGATAGGCAGGCTGCCTTGCAGATTCGGGTTAATTCCTCTGCCGAAATATCCACTGAGCCTTTTCCTTGCAAACCAGCGTTTAAAGGAGCCCTCCTGGGTGTTTGGGTGGGGGGTGGGGGAGGGTAGGGAGGCCGGGAGTAGGGAGGTGAGAAGGTGGGAGTCGAGCTAAGGGGGGGGCGGCTCTCTTTGGACGTCTGTGGGAGAAGGTGATGCTAGCTTCAGGCTCTCTTTGATCTGGGTATTCCTGTGGAGACAGCACTTCACGGCAGACCTAGGGCCCAGCAGGGACTCAACTTCCTGTCCTGCCTCCTTGCAGCTCGGTCAGGAGAACAAGAATCGCCCAGCCTAGCGGTTTGCAGCCACTTCCTTCTGCAGGTACCTGGAAAGGGCTGCTTGGGGTGGAATCTGGGGGCACCAGTCCCTGGTAAGAGCCTCAACACAGCTTCTCCTCTGTACACCTTTTGGGAATTCCAGAATGCAGTGGAAGTGCATTCTCTTGAAGAGAAAGAACATTTGAACCCCCCCCCCCCCCAGTGGAGCCCATCCCGGGGCTTGAACTCACCACCCTGAGATCCAGACCTGAGCTGAGATCGAGTTGGGTGCTCAACGGTCAGAGCCACCCAGGTGCCCCCAAGAATAGTTGATTTTTATTGGCAGTTTCCAGGGTATAGTTTTCAACCCTGACTGCTATTTCAGATCCCCTGGAATGCTTTTTTAAAAAATCCTGTTGCTAAGGGGCCCCACCCTAGACAATTTAGATCAGAATCTCTAGGGGCTGCGTGCAGGCTGTGTACTTTTGTAAAGCTCTCTAGGCTTTCCAGTGTGTGGCCAATCACTATTAAGGAAAAGGAACTAACATTTGCCAGGCACCGTACTAGGGTGTGTGTATGTGCGCGTGTGAGTGCATGTGTGTGTAAACCTCTTTAGTGCTCCCAACTATGAGACAGGTGCTGTTAATTCCCATTTATAGATGAGAAAATCCTGGCTCAGTTTGGGTGGCTGGCCCAAGGTCACACAGGAAACTGCAAATCCCTAGCCCCCTGGTTTCAACTGTGTTTTCGGTTTCAGTGAGCATTGCGGGGTGGGGGGCACTTCCTAAAAACGCAAAATGCACATTCTCATGGTTCTGTCCGGAGAGATTCCAAATCAATGTAGGTCTGGGATGAGCCCTAGAAATCCGCATGTGTAACAGCCTCCCTGAATGGCTCCTAAAAAGTGGCCTCAGCGTTAACAAAGACTGTTCTTGAGTTTGGGACTATCTATCTTAACAGGGTTGGGGGTGGAGGAATTAATCCAGTGCGACTCTCTTACTTGCTTTCTGTTTTGTGTTGCCTGCACGTATAGGGCTCTCTGTGCATTCGTAGTGCTGGGGACTGCCCCAAGGACCCTCCAGATGCATCTTGCCCTGTTGAGGCAGTGAATCATTTGGAGTCCCAGCCACAGCCCGAGCTCATTAGCTGTTGGCTGGAGGGGCTGAAGGGTGAGTTGGGTGGGGGCGGTACACCTGAGCTTGGCCTCAGAGAGGGTCGAAGGTGGCTTCCAGATGGAACTAATGTGCTGGCTGCAGCCTCTTAATTAGTTTGTCTTGGGCTGTGAGGGTTACGGAGCTGAGGGGCTTGTTCTCATTTCATCTGACCGCAGCCTCCCTTCAAAGACTTACAGCCCCTTGCTGTCCCCATGTCCCCAAATGCTCCTGTGACCCCGTGCACTCGTGTGATCCCAGGAGAGGCCTCGATGATGTCAGTTTTTGGGCTCAGAGCCCTGGGCATGTGACCTGCCTCCTTCTGGGCTGATTGGGACTAGAAGCAGGAGAAAGTCAGTAATTCTCAGAGCTGTGGGGGTCTTGCCCACGCTATTCTAAGAGCTTCCCAGACACTCACCACCAGCTACAGCAACATGACATCCCGCCACTATTTATAGGAAGAACAGACTGCAAATGGTGGCCAGCTATGGTTATCAAACCGCACAGACATGTTTTGGTATTGCTATTGATGCATTCTTAATTTTTAAGTTTTTCTCTTCCTTTTTTTTTTTTTTTTACTGTGAAACATTTTAAACATACCCAAAAAAACCAAAACCAAAACCAAAAAAAAACCTTGAAAGACTAATAAGAACGAACTCCAGAATAGTCTCTGAGGTTTCTTACCCCCAGCACCACCAACAATTGGGGCCACCTTTCTTGGTGGTGGGGGGCTGTCCTGTGCAGTGAAGGGTGTTTGCCAGCATCCTTGGACTCTACCCACTAGGTGCCAGTGGTACCCACCCCACAGCCCAGCTGTGACAGTGAAAAAAAAAAAAGTCCTTAGCCATAGCCACATGTCATCAAGGGGGTAGAATCACCCCTCGTTGAGAACTACTAATCTAGACCGAACAATCATTAGTGTTTTGTCGTATTTGCTTTATAGTACTCTCCATATTTTCATTTCCTCTCTCCCTTTCTTCCTCTTTCATTCCCTCCCTTTTTCCTTTGTTTTTTGGCTGAAGCCTTTGAAAATCCGTTGCAGACATGACACTTCATCCTTAAATACTTCAGCGTGGATCTCCTGAGAACAAGGACATTCTCCCACACAACACAATTCCAGTGTCACACCCCAGATAAAGGACGGAAATTCCATCATATCATCAGATATCCAATCATATTAAAATGTTCCCAGTCATGCCAAAAAATGTCTTCCACAGCTTGGGAGTTTCAAACTAGGATCCAGTCAAGGCTCACTGCATCTGGATGTGAAATTTCTTTAGTCCCTATTATATATCGTGTTTTAAAACCAACTTAGAACCAATTGCCAATGTTTAAAAGCCGGGCGTTTTCATGCAGATATCCAGATTTCTGACTTCTCTTGAGAAATTGGAAGGTCCGACAACATTGGACCTTCATTTTCCCATGGAAGTTGTTGGTTGCCTTTGAGAGGTGACTTCCCTCTTAGGAAGCTTGCAGGTTCCCCCTGGGTCTCCACCCCCATGCAGTTCACTTAGCGCTGTTACCTGCAGTCCCTAGAAACTCTGTCAGGCCGACCTTAGCAGCGGGGGCTCCAGTCATATGGCCTGAGATTCAATCCAGCTTGGCCACTTAATAGCTGTGTGACCTTGGGAAAGTGACTTCACCTCTCTGAGTTTTAGATTCTTCTTGTCTGTAAGACGAGATAACAATGATCCTTGTGTCATAGGCTTGTGTGAGGTTTCGCTGAGACTGGGCTTGGGAAGCTCTTAGCACAGGACCTCTTTACGGTCACTGCTCAGTGACTCTAACTCTTATTATTAGAATTTTCTGTCCCGTTTCTGCCAAAGGGGTAAATGCTGTAGTCTGGAACTCAGTACCTAGCCCTTGCTCTGCTACATCTTTTTAGCTGTGTGACATTGGTCAGGTCTCCCAACTCCA